GGTCTCCGGGGAGCCAGCTGGTGACTCGGGCTCCAGCTGCCTGTGGGAGGGAGGGGGCGCCCAGGAGCCTGAGGTCGCGGGGGCGCGGCAGGACTGGGGGGCTGGGAGCGGGCGCTCGTCTCCCTCCCCGTCCCCCATGCACCCGCTCCCTGGCATGCCCCCAACCCTGCCTCCGGGAGTCCCGCTGGAAACGTCACAGAATACCCCCAGGAGTCTCTCTCTTCAGGACCCTCCAAAGGCCCCAGTGAATGTACATATCCCGAGGTGGTCACCAAGATCCTGCGCAGGAACACGCTCAGGGGACGGGGCTCAGCGGAGGCCACTGGTGCACCTGCTCCCCGGGCACAACTCCGAGGTCAGCTGGAAAAAGAGACGGGAGTAGGTGGTGAGAGGGTGCTGCGTCCCCCACCCTCCAACAGATCATCAGGAAGTCAAGGTCTCCGGACGCACAAGGGGGCTGAGACCTTGCGCGACTCAGAGGACAAGAGCTGAAAGCACCGGGCCACCTCGATGCTCTCTTCGTCCTGTCCCTCCGCTTTTCGCAGCCACTTGGCCTTGACCTCACCCGTGGACTGTCCTCTGGCCCCACGCTTTCCCTCCAACCTTAGGCGAGGCGCTCAGCCGCGCCTCTCTGACCCCGCCCTCGGTGGGCCCCACCTCCTCGGTCGGGAACGCCACGGGTCGCCGCCGGCGGTGCGGTCCAGGTACCACCCGCGCTGGAATCGCTGGACGTCCCGGGTGCTGGGCGGGATCCCTGAGTCTCTGCAGCTTAGGAGAGCGGAGATGTCCAGGGTCTCCTATAGCTTCCCCCAACCCCGACAGAGTCCCGGAAGGAACTTGGGCATCTGTTTCCTCCTGGCTCCTCCCCGACCGCCCCCCCCTACCCCGGTGACCTTGGGTCCGACCACCCCCTGCACCCTCCCGAGGCTCAGGCCCCCACTCCCCTGCTAGAGGCGTTTTCTGGTCCTTTCACGCCGCAGGACGTTAATCTCCATGAACAACTGGGTGGCCATCAGGAGCCCCATTTTCCAGATGGGGAAAGGGCCCAGAGAGATGCCACTAGCTTCTTCTAAGGACAGCACTGGGGTGAGGGTGGGAGGAGGCATTATCCCTGCCGAGACAGGGGGGAGAGGGGTCCTACCAACTGGTCCCACCTCCCTCAGCCCTTGGGTCTCCCTAACCCCCAAAGTCCCCGGGCCCAGGACGGCAGGGCAGGAAGTGAAAAGGCCTGCAGGAAACCCCAGGAGGAACTGAGACTTCAGCCAGCCCTGCCTCCACCTGCCTGGCCCTGGGGACCTCGTGGAAACCAGACCCTCCTTCAGGAAGAACAGGCCGGAAACACGGGCTGGGGGAGGGGCTGCTGCCCTCAGTTTACCTCGGACTGGACCAAGCCCATCTTCCTTCCTTACTGCCAAGAGACTAGTTGGGAGAAATCTGAGTAATAAAATGAGGGGTGGGGCCCGCATGGATCCATGACCTTGGCCCAGGCAGGCCTCCTGCGGAGGGCAGAACCCTGCCAGCTCAGCTGCACCAGCACACCTGTTCTGTCCTGGGCCAGACCCCTTCAGCCCTGGGCCTCTCTCCCTCTACAAATCTACAAAGTCCCTGCTCACCGGGTACAAAAACAGCTCCGGAGGGCCTCTGCCCAGCAGGGGCTGTAACTTCTGAGAAGATTTACATAGAGGGAGGCACTGCTTCAGCTACTACAGCAAAAAGGAAAGAAAATAACCAAATAATGGCCGTGTGAAAAATGTCGAATGTTGAAAACCTTACTGTGAAGTGTTGAAGGGGAGAGAAACAGCAACGCCGACAAGGCGGAATCCAGACGTGGAGCTTAGCTGTACTATAGGAAAACACACGGGCTGCAGTCGCTGGAAATTGGTCGTTTCTCCACCCTGAGTCACTGTCTTGGACTTTCCAGATTATTTAAAAATGCATACCTTTTTTTTTTCTTTTAAAGCAAACACAAAGGGGCTGGCAGGTGGCGTGGTGGTTGAGACACTGGTCTCCCACATAGCCGACCATGGTTCAAGTCCTGAACCTGGTGGCTTGCTTTCTCACTCTCCCTTTTCCTCTGTTTCTGGTCAAAATTGAAGAATAACGATAATAAAATTTAAAAATAAATAAATCCTTAAAAAGAAAAAACAGCAAACACAAGCACCCAGCCCCCTCCTCCAGGTGCTGTTACAAAGATGAAATGATGTATTGATATGAAGATCTGAAGGCTCCTTAGGAAGTAACACCTAAGACGGGCCAGGGACAGAGCTATGATTTCCTGGGCTGTGGGGCGCTTTTCAGGGTGAGGGGACCTTCCTCTGATCTCTCCTGCTTCTTCTCCAAGGAACTTCCCTTCTGTTATTTGCTGGAGGGCCAGGTCCTCTCCTTCTGTGGGCCTCAGTTTCCTCATCTACGAACTGGGTGTGTGTGAGAATTCCCTAAGGTTCCTTCCAGCCCTTTTCCTCTATGGGGTCACAGGCCAGGAGGACAGCTTTGCATCTCACCCCCTATTTTTCCAGAAGAGGAAACTGAGGTCAAGGGGAAAGCGTGTATCAGCCCAGAGTCCAGCTGAGACAGAAAAGTGCCAGTTTGCATGTGTGGACTCATTGGGGTTTTGCCCACCCTTTTCACCTCCGGGGCCTGGCTCCTGGCTGTAGTGGAGAAGGTGGTGGAAGGTAGGGGTGCCCAGGGACAGCTGACTACCCAACTGCGGATGAGGAGAGCTGATCTCTGGCTGGGCCTTGCTCCTGGCCCACCCGCTCCTTGCTACTTTCTCAGTCACCTGGCTCCTTCGGAGAGTAGCTGGGCAGACTTGGGTGGGCGTGTCCAGATTCCGGGAGCTCCAAGTACCACTGGCCCTGGACTGTCTTCTGAGCTGCAAGACTTGTGGGCAGGAAGGCCAGGGGTCTCCCAGGCAGCTCCGGCAGCCAGCTCAGGGACAGGCAGGCATGGAACAGAACGTGACCTGGGCTCTGTGATGGCGAAGGCGATCCCAGGAGCCCGTCTTTGCCTCCTGGCCCAGTGCTCCCTCCAAAGGTGCTAAGCTGCAACGAATTCCAATTCCAAGGAAGCTGTCCAGGGCAGAGTCCAGGCTGGGAGGGAATGACCCTGAGTGGGAGGCCAGGCAGGAGGCAGCAGCTGTGTGTCACAGGGAGCTCCAAACAGGAAAGAGAGGGTCTTGGCGTCAGGCTCTAGAGCAAGGAGCACCTCCTCGTCAGCAGAACAGAGCTTGCTGGGTGTGGGGAGCCCAGAGCCTGGCACAGGATGGCCAAGGGAGCCAACTGCCTGGAGAGGACAGGCCATAGAGAGAAGGGACCTCAAGAGCCCTCAGGTCTGTCAGGTTCAAGGCCACAGGCCTGCCCTGGCCTTTGCATGAAGGAGCCTCCTGTAGGACCTGGCTCTACCGTGGCACAGTGGGGCATGCAGTGCCCTGGAGGCAGCAGGGACCCCAGGTCGTCTCTAGGGGGGCCGAGTGCCCATGTGCTCCTGCTGCTTGAGCTTGGGGTCCAGCTCCAGATGCTTAGGCTTCCCCCCAAGTGCAGGCCTATGGCTCTGAGGGCTGCCACTGGAGCCAAAATGGCATCTTAGGTTCTAGCAGATGAGACCACACTCAGGGTTGACCCTAGGATACAGACACCTGAGAACCAGCACAGTCCAGAACATTCTTTTTTTACTGGGTACTTATTTAAAAACACAAGCCAAAAAAAGTTTATTTCTTCTTTTGAAAGGGGAGGCACCCCCAACAGACTCCTCCCAGAGCAGTCCACCCCCGGTCTTGGCCAGCCCAGGACACGGCCTTGTGTTCTCAGGAAAGCTGCAGGACACAAACCCGGGACCTTTCCCACGTGGGTCCAGTTGCATTGCTACTGCCCGGCCCCTCTTGGTTTGTTCGAAAATACTTGTGTGTTTGTAGATCCCACGGCGAGCTCATCAGGGGTTACTCGTTGCTGCCATTTGCGTCATTTGAAAAGCAGGACATCTCCGAGAGTGAGCATTACAGCGTACAGCACCCTGCTGCAAACAAACCCCCGGCCCTGCCCTCGGTCGCCACCCTCCCACTCGGGAAGAAAAGTCCTGTATGCCTAGTGCCTAACCGACCAAAAGCACAGGAGCACAGACACCACCTCCGAGGGCCAGCAGCTAACACCCCACACGACTCCACGCTGGCCGAATGCCGGGTCTGCAGGGCTAAGCTGGGGGCAGCCTGGGTCGGAGTGACAAACAATCCAGCTTCTGAGCCCCTGGCCGAGGGCCCAGAAGTGGGGCAGGGCCTCTGCCTACCCCCACATCTACTGCTGCTCAGGGCCGGCTGTCTTGGTGGTCACCAGCTCAGTGGAGCCTAACTCAGTGGCTGGCACAGGGACATTGTGGCCGGGTGGTGTGGTGCCCGGGTCTTCTGCAGGGGAAGGCCAGACAGGAGCTGTGGCATCAAGTGCTATCGGGGAGAGGACGATGACATTGTCCAGGGACTCTGGAGAGAGGGACGGAAGGTCAGAACTGGGTCCCTGCTCTGGAAACCCCCTGTGGAGGGACAGTCGCTAGGAGGATGAAGCCCCATTTCAAGGAGGGGAGGGGTGACACATGACAGGCCCTGGGGACAGGAAGTGCAGAGTCCAGAGGCGTGTCAACATGGGGTATGCTGAGAGCCCAGGCTGGCCAGCCCGCATTTAGGCTGGGACCCCCAACTCTCCGTTGGAATGTGCTCCCAGCTCTGTGCCCCCCTTAGCTCCATCCGAGATGGCAGAGCTGTGCCTCTGCTCCGCTGGGACTAGGGGGCCCTCTCAGCTCCAGGTCCTGCAACTCTCCTGTCTGCAGGACTGAGCTGCCCAGAGCCCCTCCTCCCCACTCAGACCTCCCCTAGCCATCACGAGCCACTTCTCCCCTCAGAGTACCCCCACCCGAGACCACACGACCCTGCTCCACTGGGCAGTGCGCCTCCTCCGCCCCTGGCCCGGACTGGAACTCACCGTCCTGGTCTGTGTCTGGGGCTTCCGGGGAGGCCACCCCAGGACACCTCTGCTTCCGCCGTTGTTGCCATCCCCAGCTCACCAGGCCCACCAGGGCCAGGACCAGTGCCAGGCCCAGCAGCAAGGGGGCGCTGAAGAGCAGCCCGTGCAGGGGCAGCACCCCCTCGGGGCCAGCCCCTGCACCTACTGACTCCTGAGGCTGCAACACAGTCCTGGGGACCAGGCTGCTCGCCCCTGCTGCTATGGGAGGGGACGGAGAGGGTGGGCAGGGGGCTGAGGGGAGGGATGCCTGGGGAAGGGGAGGGTCAGAGGGAGGTGAGGCTGGGCCTGGGAGAGGAGGGGCGGGGCGGCGGGTGGGGGTGGACAGAGGAGAGGAGAGAGAGAATGGTGAGGTCACGCAGTGATTCTAGGTCCCCATCGACCAGTTGCCCCCACGGATCCCGGTCAGGTCTGGGTTCTGCCTGCGGTTCTGGCGGGTCGGAGCCTCCGTGGCAGGGCCCTCCTCCCGGGCTGCCATGGGCCGTGGTCCCAAGGGTCGGTCTCTTACCGCGCCTAGGCTCCGGCGTGCGGAGCAGCTTGCAGGCCACGCAGTGGCGGAGCAGCAGGTCGAAGCACTCTGCGCGGCCGCAGGGGGTGGGGGCCGGCCCCTCCCTGCCCCTCCGGCTCCTGGATCCTCGCCTCATGGTGCAGATGCCGCGGCCACGCGGGGCTGGGGCTGAGCTCTGAGTTCGCCTCCGCGGCCGGGGAGGAAACCCGGCAGGGCACGCCCACCCAGCCGCTGCCCCGCCTCTGCCTGCTGGGGTGGGACCACTAGCCGCCACGGCCCTGCCTTGCACCCGGACCTTCTCCCACTCGGGGTTCCTGAAAGGACACGGTCGGTGCCTTGAGAACACATTCAGGTGCTTCAAGCGTTTTCCTTTGCTCAGGGACTCCCCTCTCCCCTCCCCCGACGACCCGGCCATGGTCGACCCTTGTTTTCCTGCTCTGCCCTGAGACACAAAGGTGGTTACGCCCATTGTGGGCTGTCATCAGAACTAAAGACAAACAGAACACGCAGGCTGCGACACCCACAGACAGCGCGACAACCCGAGGACCAACAGAAGTCCTGCCCCAGGCCCGCCTGGGTTACCACCAAAGCCTGGAGCCGCCACCCTCCACCCCAGTGCAAGCTGCTTCCCGGCCCCTTGCTCTTTCTCTGCTTGCTCCGAGTCTGTGAACCCTGTCACGGGCCCTGGCTGCAGCCACCATCACAGTTCCTCCATTCAGCCATCCGCCTATCACCCCCATGCTGGGTGCGCCTTGCTGGGACTGGGCAGGGACTCAGACCTTTGAGCAGCCTTCTCGGGCTCAGCCGTGCCAAGGCGGACCCACAGCTCCAGATGCTCCCATCAGCTCCCACCCCTCTTGTGGGGTGCCCTCCTGCCCTTCCCACGCAGAGCTGGTTCAGACGTCAATATTCCTGAGTGACTGCCTTGTGCCGGGCCCAGTCTTCCCGGAGGGAACCTCACACTGGTGACAGTGATGGGGAGGGACAGACAGTGCTTCACAGCAGGGGCACCAGGGCAGGAAGGCTTCATGGAGCAGGGAGTCCAGGGGAACACGAGGGAGTCGAGGCCCCATTGGGAAGGCTAGGAGTGCGACCAGAGGGCTGGGCTGTGGCCTTGTCACAGAGCAGGCCGGCTGCCCCCTCGGCCTTCCTGGACTTAGCTGAGCCTTCTCCAGGGTGAGCACCGAGAGGCCTCGGGAAGCTCAGTTCAGCCCTGCGCATGGGGTCAGTGCTGGGGGCGCCATGCGCAGAGGAAGGAGTACCTGTGTCGGGGCAGAGGGATCTTTGGCAGCTTCAGCAGAAAGAAACCGCTCCGAGCCGGGAGAATGGCACGAGCGAGTTTGGGGATGAAGAGGCAGTGAGCTCTGGGTCGGGCATGACTACAGCCTCCTGGGATGCACGGAGGGAGAGGGGTGCACCAGGCTGGGTGGGCCCAGCGGGCAGTGAGGTGCCCCAGGGTGTGAGTTGGGGAGACTGGCCACAGCGGAGTGGGAGACGGTGAGCAGCCTGCGAGGAGGCGGATGCTGCTCCAGACAGGAGACATGCAGCAGCCAGTGGCGGAGTGCGGGGAGCCAGGACACCGGGGTGCTGGCTCAGAGGACCCTGTGGTGTCATGCAGAACCCTCGGTGGGTCAGCCTGTTCGGCCCGCTGCCTCTCCATCCCTTGCCCACGGCCCAGCAACCCCATGGCAGGAAGGTGTAGGCGGTGGGGTGGCTGCAAAGGAGAAGTGGGTGTGGGTGTGAGTGTGGGTGTTTGGTGAGAGGAGGCTGAAGAGGAGCCAGGGCAGGGAAGGCCCTTTGGGGGCAGCAGGGGGGAGGCCCAAAGACTGGCAAAGACAAACCTCCCCCACCCCTGACCCTTCGGTACTAGGGACTGCTAGGGCTGGAGACTCGACTACCTGCTGGGCAGCTCGTCCAGCCCTAAATCCAGGCATTCAGATCAAGTGGGCTGTGGGAACCCAGTTTCAGGGAACCTGTCTCCAGGAGAGGGGACCCAGTGAGGCTGGGCGGACCATTCTACTGAGTTCCCAGGGTGCTGGCCTGCACCGGGCTGCTCTCACAGCAGGAAGTGGGCAGCACAACTGCTCCAGCCCGAGGGCCAGAGGAGGCTCCCTCCAGCCCCAGGTGAGCTTGCACTGCCTTGGAGAGAAGCAGGATGCGCACCTGCCGCACGATCACGGCAAGTCCCTGCTCCCTGTGCTCGCACTGAGCCTGGTGCCAGGGCCAGGGCCCATGGGATCTCTGAGCAGGTTTGCGCAGGTGCCTGACCTCGGACAGTCTTTTCACCTGCACCTCCTAAATGGGTGGGGGTTCTGCGGGCCTCGGGGCTCTGTGTGGACAGCAGCAGGGTCACCATCAGACACTTGGGAACTGTGTGTTTTTTTATAGCTCTTAAATGAAGTTTATTAATTTATTCAAGTCTTCTGCATCATTTAAAAAAATGAAAAAAATCAGGACCAGCAGTTGACTTCATGGCTATGTCACTGGACTCCCATGTAGTCGACTGTGGCTCAAGTCCTGGACTTGGCAGCTTAAACTCATGCCAGGTGCGCTTGTGTGCATGCGTACCCAAGATCCCGAGAGGAGAATGGAGAAGGGACTATGGTGTGGCCATCCCCCCCGGGGGTGATTTCTCACTTTCTGTCTCTCTCTCTCTGTCTTTGTGAGGAACACAGGCATCCTATAGCAAAAACCTCTCAAAAAAGTTAAAAAATAAATTGAAATTTAATTTAAAATAAATTTAAAAATAACTACTGTTAAGTAATGAATAAATACAATGAAATAAAATAATTTTAAGAAGGGGGAACCAGCAGGTGGCATGGTGGTTAACGCACTGAACACTCCCACATGGCCAACCACGGTTTGAGTCCCAAACCTGGTGGCTTGTTTTTCTCTCCCTCTCTCTATGTCTCCCTCTGGTTAAATGAAAATAAATAAAATTAAATAAAATAAATTTTAAAAAAGTACTGTTGGGCTGGCCTGGGGTGCAGGGGGTAACTTCCGTGCATGGCAAGTCCAGCTGAAAAGGGCAGGGGCGGGGGGCACGTGTGCCACTTCCCAGCAGGAAAGTGTGACCACCCCCACTGGGGATGCTTTCTCTCTGGTGAGCACACGCACGCTCTGGCAATTAAGACAACTTATGACCAGTTTATTGGAAAGGATGAAGAGGTGAGTAGGGAGGGGCACCACCTCCCCCCCCCTTCCCCCGCCAGCCCTTCTGCAGGATCGCCCACCGGCAGCTCCGCTGTATCACTTTCTGATAGTGAGATGCCACCAAGGGTTAAAGTTTCCACAATCGATGTGGTTCTTGCAAATTGTCCTTGTTCTTTTAACAGTTTTTTTCTGGGTTTGTTTAGTTTGCTACAGGGCCAATTAAAATGCACTGGCCAGAGAGGAAGAGCAAGAAAGCACCCTCGGGAGGGGACAGCCTTGTCGCAGTCCTCTCCATTCTCTTCTCCAGAGCCTGGGCGCATGGCACCTGCACCTGGAGTGTTTCCCAAGCCACAGATCCTAGATCCGGGGCTGGAGGCCATGTGGGCTCCAACTGTCCCGACCACCATGCCAGGGCTGGCTCTCTTTTTAAGTTTTTCTGTTTTTAATTTTGCCAGAAGGCAAGCGCTCTAGCTAGAGAGAGAGAGACAGAGAGAGGGCATGGTCACATCGCAATCTCTTCTCCATTTGTCCCGTCAGGATTTGGGCCACACCTGCATGTGCACCACGTGGTTTTTCAAGATGCCCGGTTGGGACTCAAACTGCAGCTGGTCACCTGGTCATGTGGGATTCGTCGCCTTAATGACCACACCACAGGCTGGTACATTCTTTTTTCTTTAAAGATTTATTTATTTATTTATTTAATTCCATTTGTTATTATTAGTATTTTTAAATTTTTACCAGAGAAAGAGAGAAAGGGAAAGTGAGAAAGCAAGTCACTACGAGGTCCAGGACTCGAGCCACGGTCACCCATGTGAATCTGGTGCCTTTAACCACCACACCACCTGCCACCCCACAGGTTGGCACATTCTTTTAACAGTTTTTAATAATTTGATAGTTCAATGTATTCTGGAGTGGAAAATAAGGAATTATTTTTGGCTGAAAAAGCCTAACTGAATCTGCCTCTTAGAGTTCTCCATTTTTCATTCACTGAATATTTTTTTAAAGATAATTAATCAGGGCTGGCAGGTGGTGTGGTGGTGGGGGGGGCTGCTGGACTCCCACATGGCCAACCACAGTTCGCGTCCCGGACCTGGCAGGTTTTTTTTTCTCTCTCTCTCTTTGTCCCTCTCTGGTCAAATTAAAAACAAATAGATAAATAAAGTTTAAAAAAATTATTTTAAAAAATGATTAATTTGGGAACCAACAGATAGAATGTTTACATCGCTGGACTCCCAAGTAGTTGACCCTGGTTTGAGTCCCAGACCCGGCAGCTTAAAACACACTGGGCATGTGTGCATGCTTGCCCAAAATCCCAAGAGGAGAATGGAGAAGGGACTGCAGCGTGGCCAACCTCCTGGGAGTGATTTCTCACCTTCGGTCTCTCTGCCTCTCTGTCTCTCCAGTGAGTGCACATGCCCTGTAGCAAAAATCTTTCCATAAAAAAGAAAAAGGTTTATCTGGGGTCTATCGGGAAGGGAGTCTCCTTTGATTTTGCCCCCCAAACGCCCTCAGATGCAGAAACAGGCTCTGAGGGCAAAGGACCCTCCCAGGACAACCTGGCAGGTACAAGGGCCTGGACGGGGGCGGTGTCCACCTGACTGTGAAGTCTGGTCTGTACCTTTCATGCTTCAAGGACAGGCAGGGGGGAAGTGGGACCCTCTGCACTTCAGGGACAAGCTCGGGGCGGGGGGGGGCAGTCCCTGGGGGCTGAGGCCCAGCCCCCCCAGATCTGGATGTGAAACTGCTCTGAGGCTGGGGATGCAGTCAGTATTTCAAAATTAGTTTTAGCTGTAATTATGCTAGTAATGCCCGAACGTGTTCTCATGAAAGACTCCGGCAGAAGTCTGAGTAAGGACGCTCCCCGTGCTCCCCGGGGACCCTCTGCTCGCTCCGAAGCCTTCCCCTCTGCTGTCTTTTGTGCCTTTACGATCCTGTGTACACGCAGAACGGGGCTTTCTGGTGGCTCATAACTAGCCCTACCGTGGACTGGCCCTGTGGCCCGGTCCCCTCTGACTTGGCTCATTGCTTCCTTGCATTGGTGACAGTGGCCCAGGTCCCCTATGGAGGAGGCTCCCTTTGCCCTTCCCATGTATTTATCAGCACAAGAGCAGCGGGAAGGACCCGGGGAGCGGGGCAGGAGCAGCCGGCAACCGGGAAGAAGTCCAGGTGAGGCAGAGCGAGGAGACCTGGGAGCCATCGGCCCAGCCCCCTGGAACAGCAAGAGTAGGCCATGCCCAACCACGAGGGCTTCAGTCCCTTGCCCTGCCCCTTGGAGGCTGCAGCTGCCGTGCCCAGCCCCCACCCTTCCTACACACGTACACGTACACACGCATGTGCTCGCTTGCTCACAATCCAGCTCTCTTGGCCAGGGCAGCCCCAGCCATCATTCTCTCTGCATGGCCTGGGAGGGAGGGCATGGGCCCCTGTGTGGAGGGAGGGCATGGGCCCCTGAGTGCGAGGTTAGAAAGGAGATTACAGGGCCAGCAGGTGGCGTGGTGGTTACAGTGCCAGGCTCCACATGGCAGCCGCGGTTCGAGCCCTCAACCCATCGGCTTAAAGATTATGCTAGGCATGTGTGATTGCAGCACGGCCATCTCCTCTGGGGGGCGATTTCTCACTTTATTTTCCCTCCGTCTCTCTGGGGAGCACACATACCTTTCGGCAAAAACTTAAAAAAATTACAGCCCTTCAGCCACAGGGAGTGGAGTCCCCACCTCCTGGGCCAGCTGGCAGCAGGTGGGTGAGAAGGGGGGAAGCCTCCCCTCCCCAGGCCTTCTGCAGTCTAGACTGAGTGCCCAGGGGAAGTGGGCTACCCAGGTCTCACTGCAGGGCACCCGCAGACGGGGAGTGGGACTCCGAGGCCGGGCCCTTTCTCACCACACCACTTCCCCTCTGTGGCCGGGCTGCTCCTGCCTCTGCTCACCCGGGGATGAAGGGCCATGCCTCCTCGGCAGGGACGGGAACACCATCAGATCTGGGCCAGGCCACTGCTTGGGTTGCCCTAGAACATCGCTTCTGGGGACAGGCACAGGTGAGCCCAGGACCCCCAGCAGGCCCTGCCCTCGGAGAGCCTCAAAGCCCTCCGCCAGACTGAGGGGCCCAGCCCCACCCTCCTCCATGCTCACTGGAAGGGTGGACCCAGCAGCTTCTAGGCCAGCTGGAAGGGGGGTACCCTCCAGGAGCGCGGGCTGCCCACCCATTCAGACCAGTGGCCGAGTCCTTGCCCATCCCTGGTAGCCGAGGGGCCTGAGGCTGCGGTCTCAGTGACGGCGCCCCTGCTCCTGGCGCACTGACAGCCTGGCCCTGCATCACCTCCCTCAGTTGAGGGCCCTCCTGGACAATGTCACAGCCCTCCCAAGGGAGGCAAGCAACTGCAGTCCCTGGCCACCTGTCTCCAGCCTTCTGGGGACAGAAGAGGGCATCTGACTGCCATCGAAGTGTTGCAGGCAGGGCGGGCCAGCTCAAGCCCAGGGCCCCTGCCAAGCTCAGCTGCGAGCTGGTAGCAGTGACAGCATCGCGTTCCCCCAGCACTTGGAAAGCTCCCAGGGCCCCGGCTGGCTGGAAAGGACGATGCCGCTCCTCTTGTTAAATGGCACCAGGTGGCCAAGGAAATGTGGCACAGGGACCAGAGGGAGAAAGGTGCTCCACGCTGGCTGGGGAGGGGACAGGGGTGGGGAGGCCTCCCGTCTACACCTTCTGTCCCTGCTTGGACACATTCCATCAACCAAGACCCACTACCCCTGTCCACCCTGCATAGCCCTCCTTTACGGCCCAGGACACGGGGCTGGAGGCAGCGCCAACTCCTCGAAGCCCAGGCCCTCTGCACCATGCCAGATACTGTTCACCCTGCAGGGACCCACACCACCACCTCACCTCCAGCCCCTTCCTCTGGCCCTGGACCCACCACACTTGGCACCAAGGCTGCCCTCCTCCCCCCACCTCCTGAGGGAGACCGTCACGGCTGCCCAGAGGCCTGCTCAAGCCCATACCCCTGCGGCCTGGGCCCTCCCCAGGGTGCCAACAGGGTCGAGTCCTGCCTGAGGGGCCGCAGCGGGGGGGGGTGGGGGAGAAGGCTGCAGACAGGCTCCGCCTGCGTTCCCACCCAGGGCTTGCTCGGCGGAGATGCCCAGGCGACAGGAAAACCAGCAGGAAAGGCGGCCGGCTGTACCAGCTCTGCAACCACCTCGATGTCAGGAGCCTGGGGTGGGGAACCAGCAGCGGTCTCCCAGGTCTGCTGGGTGGTGACAGGCACCACGACTGTGAGAAGTGCTCTGTGAAGCGTGAGGTGCCCAGACGTCAGGTGAGAACGCCATCTCCACAGCTGAGGCCCTCGGCGGGGCTGGGGCTGCCTCGGTCAGCCAGGTGTCTGCAAATCTCACTGAGTTCTAGGGGTGGGGCGCTGGGCCAGGTTCTGGAAGGTACCCAGAGAAAGACAGGCCATCCCCACTGTCATGACGCCCACGTGGAGTGACATGGTGGCCCATCCTCCAGGGCTGAGGCCGGCTGCAAGTGTCATCAAAACAGCGAGCCCTGAAGTGCTGGCTCTGCCTGGGCTGGTAGGCAGGGACTGTCCTGACGCGAGGCTGGGGCAGCCCTGGGTAGTGAAGGGGGAAGGCCTGGCCCCTCCTGAGGTCTCTCCCACAGGGCCCCCTCTACTCCGAAGCTGCTGTGCCAAGCCAGCCTCCCTGCCACGGCAGGAGCTTCAACCCGGCGGGCAGGGTTTCTGGAATCATCTCGGCACTTCCAACATCCCCAGGTGGACCCAAAGGAGAGGAAAGCAATTGTCCCTGCATGGTGTCACACAGCCAACCCAAAGCCAGCCCCCCAGCCACTCGTTCAGGTCTCAAACTGAGGATGGCGTAATTCCTGATGTGCCCGTTTCTGAGCTTGGCGCTAGGATCTCAAATGAGATTCTGTGCAGAGCCTTCCCCGGCACCGGGTAAGGCACGGACCCAAGGTACCCCAGGTCTCGCGCACACACGACCGAGCGCGGGGATGAGCAGTCCTGGCACCCGGCCGATTGCTTTATTCCAGTCTCAATGTGACAAGGTCACCAGAGCCGCCTGCATCTACATTAGGGAAATGGGCTCCAAGAGGCAGCACCCAGGTTCTGCAGGGCGGCAGGGGCAGGGGCAGGTGTGGAGTCAGGTGGGCTCGTGCTGTCCAAGTTCGCCTACCCCACCTCCACCCGACTGCTCCGAGTCGGTCTCTTCACCTGCAAGTCGGGGCGGTGGGTGAGGCCGGTCATTCTCTGACTCGTTTTAGCCCGACCCTCTGTTCAGTGAAACCGTAGTGGAGCAGTACCACGTCGGATGCCAGATGTCAGATGGGCAGGCACGGGAGCGGCTCCAGCCCACCCCTGCCCAGAGCGCAGACAGCCTGCAACGCTGGCGCTGACCCAAGGTCTGAGTCCAGAGCTGGGGTCGTCACCGACAGTGAGCCTGCGCGCAGCTGGTGCTAAGCCGCGGGGAGGAGCGGCCCCGGGGCTGGCAGCCCTCATGGGTCCTCCAGGCAGGGGCTCTCGGAGCTCCTCAGCAGGGACACCAGGCTCAAGGCCGAGGCACCGGGCACGTGGCCGGCACAGATCTGCAGCATGCGCAGCAGCCGCTGTGCCATGGTGGCGCGGAAGCCTTCCACCTGCAGGGAAGAGCAAAGGACAGTGGTGAGGCCGGTGGGCAGCCTGCTCCCTCCCTCAGCGCCGCGGGCAGCTAAGGGCACTGCCGCCTGTCCTGGCCATGCCCTTGCTCACACATGTACAGGCCGTTTCCAACCACCCCCAGGGACACCAGGGCTGTGACCCTGCCTGGGGACAGACAGCACAGCTGGCAAGGTCCGGTCACCTGTCTGTGATGGGTCGGAACCAGGCAGCACGGCCCAGAGGCTCGGTGCTGCAGATTGGGAGCGCCTCCCAGAGGGCCTTGGTCAGGGAGGCCCCAGGAGCCTGCGGAGTGTGACAACACTGTCCCAAGCCCTGGCCCAGCTAGGACTGGGCAAGCAGGAGGCGTTCTAGGAACTTCTGCAGGAAGAACCGACGGTGATGCTCGGTGGTGTCTCCCCCTCAGAAGCATCTTGCCTTCTCCTGTCCTCGGTGGGGGCGGCCTGTCATCCAAACTAGAGGCCAGGGCAGCTCCAACTCCCCTATGGTCACTGCCACCACGCGTCACCTACGACAGACCTCCTTGGTATGAAATTCAGAGGGGCCTTCTCGGTCCTCACCTCCCTGGCGCCATCAGCAGGCCCTGAGGCGGCTGCTCCCTCCCTCGGAGATGCTTTTCCTCCTGGGCTGCCAGGCCCTCACCTCACAGGCCCACCCCGACACTTGGAGCCCCTGGGCTGGGCCCTCGGATCTCTTGTCCCACACCTGGTCCCTGGAGGAGCTCACCGTCTGCGGCTTTAGAGCCATCCGGGTGCGGATGCCAGTCACACTCCCGACCTTCCTGTGGGAGGTCGGCGCCGTGTGCAGCTGCCCCCCGCACTTCACGTGGTCGGCCTTCAGGTACCCCAACCTCACACGCCCCAAACACGGCCCTGCCACCCCGACCCTGCTCCCCCGTCTCCCCGTCCCAGCCCACAGCCACGCCGTCCTGCTACTAAGACCAGAGCCTTCGGCATCGTCCCTGTCCCTGACTGTCGGGTCTGCCGTCGAGGCCACCGGCATATCCTGTGGGCTCCAACCGGAGGCAGCCAGCACTGCAGGCCCGCTCGCCTCTGCCCTGCCGCCGCCGCGCCCAGGCCACACTCGATGCCTCACCCACCTCACTTCGACCCTGGCCTCCCTTCAGTCTGCTCTCCTCCCGGCAGGCAGAGGGACCCCCACGTCAGGCCGGCCGCAGCCCTCCTTGGCCCCAAACCCGCCAGCAGCTCGTGTCACTCGGAGCACCAGTCGCAGCCCCAACTGCATCTACAAGGCCCGGCTGATCCTCCTCGTCACTACTCTGGACACCCGGGCCTCTCGGCCGGGCCTTGAACACACCAGCAAGGTCCGCGCCCCGGCTGCACGTGCCGCTTCTGCCAGCGGGCTCTCGCACCACACGCCTTCATGGCCCAGCCTCCTTCCCTCCAGTCAAGTCATGTGCGCGGCACGGCCTCCCTAGTCCCCGGTTTGGATCCTGCCCTTTCTCGCCACATGGCACATCATGCCCCATTTCTGCCAATTACGCAGTTCCTTCTGTACCTCGTTGGGTTCCTAGATGAGAACGGGGATGGGCTTTTTCTTTTTGGCCCTGGGCCAGGTCCCTGGTGCCCAGAACAGGGCTCGGCAGCCCACGGCCACACAAGAAGATCGTGCCGAATGCACCTTCCCACTCTAAGTGCTGGCCGTGGCCCCAAAGCGGCCTCCAAGCTGCAGCTGCCCTTGCTCGGCCGCCGTCGGCCTCCTGCCGCGGGCCAGCCTCCTGCAGTCCACACTTCACACGCCAGAACAGCCCCAGGCCTGGTCTGCCCAGCCGTGGCCGAGTTCCTCCTGAGCCCAGCAGGCGCTACGGCTGTGGCATGCGTCACACGTGTCTCACTAGGTTCATGTCTGACTCATCTGTGCTCCCCACGGGGGTCCCACCTGCGGACCTCCCCAGCTGTAAAACGGGCTGCTGGCTCCTGCCACACAAAGTCCTCAAAAGAGGGCGAGGCCTAAACTCGGAAATGCAGAGGAGTGTGTCCTGGAGAGGGCAGCACGGGCGTGAGGAGTGGCGGCAGTCCCCACACTGGGCGCCGCTGGAGGCCGCAGGCATTTTGGCAGCCCCCACCTCATCCGCCAATAGGCTCCGGCCTCCTGCTTCCTAAGCAGATCCTGTTCTCACCAGGACCTGGTGTGGCCTGCCACCTCGTGGCCACACACAGAATTGCACTGCCTGTTAAGGTTAGTGGGCCCCCTGTCCCTCATAACCTGAATTGTGGAACAAAGACCATGTGTGATTCCCCCCCAGAAGTAAGAAAGCTAAGGCTTCTGGGAAGAAAAAGACGGTTCAAAGCCACGTGGACATCAGGTTGATGGGATAGGCGGCTACATACTGACCGGCTGCTCTTTCTGTTTTCAGAGGTTTTTCCTATAAGGTACGTGGGCTCGATGGAGAGTGAGACAGGGAGAGGGAAAGTGAGAAATCAGCCCCCAGGGGGATGGCCACGCTGCAATCCCTTCTCCTCCATTCTCCGCTCTGGGATCTTGGGCACTGTACACACACGTGCCCAGTGTAATTTCTTTTTTATGGAGAGGTTTTCGCTATAGGGCGTGTGCGCTCGCCAGAGAGAGACAGACAGGGAGACAGAAAGCGAGAAATCACCCCCCAGGGGGGATGGCCACGCCGCAATCCCTTCTCCTCCATTTTCCTCTCCGGATCTTGGGCACGCACGCACATGCGCCCGGTGTGAGTTTAAGCCACCAGGTCCGGGACATGAACCGCGGTCGACTATGTGGGAGTTCAGTGACATAGCCATTATGCTAATGTCTGGTCCCCACCCAGCGTGATTTTCAAGCCACTGGGTCCAAGGCTTGAACCACGGTTGGCCACGTGGGAGTCCAGCTGCTCCTTCTGAGGCTCGGTTTCCACAGAGGATTGCTGTGAGGGAAGCCTGGTGGGGCAGGCACTCCAGGTGAGCCCAGACCTGAATCCCACCGTGATATGAGCGCACTGGTCAGTCAGGAGTTCTCGCAGTGGTTGTCAAATACGGAGCAGCACGGGCACCTTCCCCCGGTCTGCGGGAGACCTAGCAGCAGGTCTAACGACAACTGTCACGCTGCACCTGTGAGGAGCTCGTGCCCCTAACGAGACACGGCGACATCGGCCACTGCTATTGGCAGCAGTCACTCGACTCCTATTCCTTGCCTACACCCACAAGGCTCAATTTCACTCGGAGGCTAATAGGAGAGAAAGAATCCCCCCCACTGAAGTTCACAGACCTCCCTGAATTCTGTCCTCAGAGCAGAAGGATCCATAGACCCCAGAATAAGGACCCCCAGCCTAGACAGCGGTAAAAGACCAGGTGCTGACTCAGCCTCTCTGTATCACTTCATCTTGGGGAACAGGCACAAGATCCAGAGCAGAAACACAAAACTTCAAAATGAACCTCAAAACCAATCAGCAGACCCCTAAAGCAACAGAGCAGGCCTGGTGCTGGGGTAGTGCGGCTCAGACCCTTGGAGTCCCCAGGATTTATCCTGCATAAAAAGAGGTTGGGGGAGGCCAGCAGCTGGCGTAATGGCTATGTTGCTGGACTCCTGTGTAGTTGACCACGGTTCGAGTCCCGGACCCAGCTTGAACTCACACCGTGTGTGTATGCGTGCGTGCCCAAGATCCCGAGAGGAGAATGGAGAATGGAGGAGAAGGGACTGCAGTGTGGCTATCCCCCCTGGGGGGCGATTTCTCACTTTCTGTCTCTCTGTCTCTCTCTGTCTTTCTGGTGAGCACATGCGCCCTATAGCAAAAACCTCTCTAAAAAAAAAAAAGGAAAAAGAAAAAAGAAGTTGAGGGGCCAGCAGATGGTGTGTTGTTCAAGCACTGGACTGCCACATGGCCACAGTATTAGGGAACCTCAAGGTGATTTCAGTCCTGGACCTGGCGGCTTGCTTTCTCACTTTCCCTCTCTCTGATGAGTGCATGTGCCCTATAGCAAATTAAAAATAAATAAATAAAATTAAAAATTCTTAGGTAAAAAAAAGGAGAGGTTGGGGGCTGGCTGGCCCTATGGTCTAGTGGTTAAGGGAGCTGGATCCCACATGGCTGTGGTTCGAATTCCAGCCCTAGGCTTGAAAAACACAACAGATACACGTGCATGCGTGCCTAGAATCCTGATAGGAAGGAGAAATGGGGAAGATGGGATTGTGGTGTGGCCATGGCCCATGGGAGGTGCTATCTCCCTCTCTGTCTCTCTGGCCAGTGCATGTGCCCCCTTGGCACTTAAAAAAAAATTACAGAAAAAGAGGCCAAAGAGAAAAATATTAGGTCATCGGAAGTCATGACACATTTTTTCTATGCAAAAAAATTTCTATAAAAAAATGTGTCATGACTTTTCCAAGAAACCATTTTATCAGCAAAATAGAATCAGCTTTGCTGCCCCCAGTTATGGCTGACCCTGTGAGCAAAACCAACGGAAACTAGTCAGGGCGGAACACCACCGTGTGGGCCCATCCAACCATCCGCCCACCCTCCCAGCACCCCTTCTGCCCGCAGGTGCACTGCCAGGGCTAGGACCAGACAAGGTCTGCAATCCAGGAAGGCAGGGCAACATCAGGCATGCCGACTGCCAGGCCTCACAAGCACGCATACTCCTGTGGGAGTCAGATATTAAATGGGACCTGCAACACACACACAGAACTTAGTAGCACATATATCCTGTAGCAAACTTTAAAAAAGAAAATAAAAGGGAACCAGCAGTTAGCGTAATGGCTATGTCGCTGGACTCCCACGTAGTCGACCGCTGTTCGCGTCCTGGACCCGGTGGCTTAGAACTCACGCCGGGCGCGTGTGCGTGCGTGCCCA